ATATATATGACCTCGGGCTTCCCCGCTGGCCTAGGGGTTAATCTCAGTGCCATCACTGCTGGGCCTGAGTTCAATTCATAGCCAGGGAAGGGACCCATATGACACAGCAGACCTCTTTTGTTTTATCTGCTGCTCCCCTCAGCACTGTATTTCAATAAATCTGCTTGTTCTTTTCCCTACTCTGTTTTTGATGAATCTTCTCACCTTCCTCCCTCACACCTCTGACCTGCACCCCAGTTCTTCTATGCAAAGAAAAGAAAAGAAAATAGATGGCCTCATCCTTGAAGGTCAGGAAAAGCAGATAGGACCCATGGATTTTACTGACTACCTATTATATTCACATTCTAGCCTAATAATTAACTTCTAAGTTGGGCTTTGTTATTCACCATTGGAAAATGAATCTGAAACTCAGCAAAATTACTTAGTTTCAAGTTAATGGGCAAATGCTGTCATGGGATTTCAACACCAGCTGTCCTTTTCCCAAGCCCCTGCTCTGTCCACTGTGTTTCCTCCCTTCTATAATGCTAGTGCAATTGGGGATATAATGCACACAGTTACTCTATTCTGCAATCTTTGTTTCTCCCATTTTTGTATTACTAGCATATTATGTTGAAGCATAGCATTCAGTAATTTTTAGAGGGAAATTATGGGTGATTAATTTGGGAGGACTTAATATTGAATTTTCTATCCTTATAGAGGATGGAAGGATAATAGAATTCAATACTGAAGTCAGCTTCCCTGAATTTTTTTCATCCTATTTGATGTATTCCTGAAACTTTTCAAGACTGTTTTTTTTTTCTGTCAGCTTCCAGTGTTGTTAAATAATCACATGATAGATGCTTGATACTGAACAATATTCATTTTTCCACATGCTTATTGATCCCCATGTACATGACTATTATATTTTTTCTTCAATTTGAGAAAATGTGTTTGTATTATTTCTTAGATAATTTCCTTTTTTGTTCTATCTTCTGGGACTTCTATTATTTAGATGTTATATTTCCTATTTTCATTTTCTAATTATCACTTATTTTCTTTACTATAAGTAGGTGGATTCATATCTTTGTCCTTTATTCTGCTTTTGCTCCCTTCTGTTTCCTTTTATTTCATATTTGTAAGTTTTTAGAGACTTTCCTACATATTTGGCTCTTCTTGGCAAACTCCTCATAATTAGGAGTGAAGCAATTAAAGATTATAAGCCGTGTGTTCATGCAGGAGAAATGTCACTTGGTGGGTTTCTCTACAGGATGATAATGGAAAAAGGATGCTTTTTATTTGGGACCTACTAAGTTTTGATGCCTGTAGTTCTAAATTTACTGACTAGTTATTTTCCCCAGAGAAAAAATTCTCCAGCCTTCTGTCTGTTGAGTTTTTAAGTGGCAGTCTATAGCTTAGCAATGCAAAAGGGACTAGGAGAACCTCCAGATACACAGTGTTGGCCTGTTCTCAACATGCTATGCTCCATCCCACTATGTCTGACACCCCCAAATCCCAAATTTCTGGGATGGGGATCAGGTCTTGTTTCTTTGTACCTCCTCTGTCATACAGTTTATGGAAGAAATGAAATGGTTTGTAAGAACTTCCTACTGAACACTTGGAAATTCTAACAGTGTCTCTGATTTTTTTTTGTTTCCTCCAGCACATTGTGTTTTTAGTTAAATTTTTGGTGGCCTGGATGATCCCTGATGTTCCAAAGGATGTTCGGGACAGAATCAAGAGAGAAAAGTTAACGACAGTCAAGATTCTCCATGACTTTGAGCTTAACAAATTAAAAGAGAACTTGAACGTTAGCTCTACTGAATTTGACAAAGCCGTCATGATCCAGGAAAACAGTGTCCAGCTGAGTCAATCTGGGATCTATTCTTCGTCGTGAGCAAGGAGCTGGCTGCCTGTCTGGCATCACAGTCTTCCTTGGGTTTAGGGCCAGCGGCCAGAAGCCTCATGTCAATTTTACCCCTTCTTCTTTCTTTTTTAATGCAAAGTTTTTTACAGTTTTATAGAGGCCAATTTTGTAAGGTTGGAAGAGTACAAATTTTCTGTTTTATTGGCTGGGCTCTCACCAGACATTGCTTTCTGGGGTTCTATAAATGATTGTTAAAAGTTTATGTGGAAACAGAATATTGGAAAATCATGAACTGTTGCAGTTTAGAATTAAACATCACTTGAGCTTTCCTATCATTTTCCAGTGAGTCTGCACATTTTCATGGTCTTCTATTGGGGTGCTATATATATTTCCTTCCCACTAAGGAAAACATTGGGAAAAAAAGAAGCAAGAGTTAGATATTTCCTGCCATTTGAGACCATGCAAATGAAAAACCAAAATCAGACAACATAAGAAAATTCACACGTTAAAAATATTGGATAAATATCATGGCAGGGGCTTATTCCTGAAATCGTCCACAATAAATTTCCATCCAAATCCCAGGTAGTCCTTCCAGGTAAATGCAGAATTGATTTTTTATGAGACTGACTATTTGGGTTTCAACAAAAGACTAACAATTCAGATTTTTAAAGATAATTTTAGTAATTCTGGCATCAAGACTGAATTTTCTTCACTGAAAAACAATATTAAGATGTTATATTGCTTCAAGTCTTTAAGTAAATGACAGATATAGAAAGAAAAAATGCTTTTTTAGTAGTGAACAAGTAAAAGACAATGTATATTGAGTAATTTATTGACCTCAATTTAAAAAAATCTTTGAATTATATTTTAAAATTCCTTTTTCTTCTACAATGCCTACTTTGCATCATGAAACCTGTTTGAGCATTAGCTATTTGTATGTAATGTTCGAGTTGTTTGTGAAATTTGCCTTTTTGTTTAAAACTATCTTAAATCTTTTAATGAGTTTACAATCTTTTCTTGTGAGGCATCTCTTCATGCAGTGTTTAGTGCCTTGTTCCTCTGCCCATAACAAGAAGAAATGGTAATGCCTCACAGTTGATTTAATATGATGTAACTCAAAAATGAGCATGTTTTAGAGGAATTGTCAGTTTATGGTTAGTAAGAATCTAGCACCAAAAATGGATCAATCAAGTGAGAGGATAAGGTGATAAAAATGCAATATTTATTGTATCATTTCTTTGGTACTTGGGTCTATGGTCATGTATGCTGGTTCTTCTGTCTTGTCCTTAAAAAAAAAAAAGTGCTTCACATATAGTTAAACACTATAGGTTGAAAAATACAGTTTGATTAAATAGTGTTTAAATCTCTAGTTTCAAATCACACTTCAGTTCCAAAAGTAGGAGCACATGAAAGAGTACCCTCTTACAAGATTTTTGTCTTAAAAAGTAGCGATTCATTATTTGATGATAATACATTTTTGCAGAAATGCTACTATATGGCAGGTAATAACTTCTAATGATCAATATTAAGCATTTAGAAGTGAGGATTATGAATTGTATCAAACCATAGGACAGTTACCCCAATACTGACAGTAATGGTTTATCATTCACTGGGTAGATTTTATGAACATTTTTACCTAACCTGACATGATCTCATTATAGGAGAATAATTCACATGTGAAGGAAATGTTTTTCTTGATTGAGGGAACCAATCACTGTTACTATGAAATAAGCCACAGATGCAGTATCTTTGCCCTTTCAAATCTGTGTTACTATAATGTTGCACATTATACACAGCTCTTATTGCTTCCTTCGTGGGTGCTAATAAAAATAAAGAAAAGCATGGAAATGGGTTTCTTGAATATAATCTTTTAATTTTATGGCTTACCAGGTATTTATAATTTATAAGATATAGACAAATTTAATACAAATTTATCTGTGCGCTGCAATCTTAAAATAAAGCAACTCAAGTATCAGGTTTCCAAGAAGTATGGGGTAACTAGCAAGAAAAATTTTTCAAATTGAAAAATACTTTATCGTATTTAGTATTTGTGTTTTGTGACTATAGACCTCCCTCCCTTTTCTGGTGCTGTTACTAAATCTCTCCTAACACCTAGCTCACAACATTGTCCATTGTGCTTCCTCCTTATACTTTGTGCTCACCCCTTTCCTTTGCCCTCCCCCTCCCCCTCCTTACTTCACTCCCCCTGGTATACAGCCTTCAAGGAGTGGTTTTTTAGTTTGACTTTATCTCACCTTTTGTTTGGTTTCTCTGTATTCTGCATGTAAGTTTCACCATCTGGTTTGTGTTTCCCCCTTGACTTATTTTGTTTCACAATAAATAGATACAGTGACAAACTACAGATTAGCCACAGACAACAAATATCTGGTCAACATTTTTACTTTAGAAATCTATGTCTTAAAATCTGCACCCATTTATGCAAATAACAATATATAGAGAGAGTTGATGGTTCAACTATATTTACTGGAGCATTGGTCCTAATGGGCAAATTTTAGAATAAATGTACTAAGTAAAAAAAAGTTATTAAATAAGTAGACAGTAGAGCCCTCCGCAGGCACTACAGCACAAGTTCAATCCCTGGGGCAGGGAGGTAACCCACAAAGCATGGCAGACCTCTCCTGTCTCACCCACTGCTCCCCTCAGCAGTGTATTTTATAAGTCAGTCTGGCTGTTCTGCTCCCCCCTCTGTTTCACCCTACCCACACACCTCTGGCCTGTACCCCAGATCTTATATGCATAAATAAATATTTTAAAATAAATGGACATTATGGGATATATCGCAATTCAGTAATATTGATATGGAGATACTACAAAACAGGATCTCACTTGTGTAAGGTTCAGTTAACACTAACTCATTTTAGATGAGAAAAGTACAAAATAACATATCTATAATTACTCTCATCTGGGTCGCCACCTGCTGGCATGCAGGGAGAATAATTGTTTTGCTTACCAACTTATCCCATAAGGAGTAAATGCTCACTCTCAGAGTCAGCCACCTCTCTTGTTTCTTCTGTGAAGATGGAGTTCCATAGTACCAATGGGCATCAGTGTGGCAGGAAGAATCACTTGCTTCATGCTGAGTTGGGCTGTGTGCACTGTTCTCCATCATTCTTTGACAACTATCTCTTGCAAGTCTAGTCACTGGGAGCCCTGCTGGCATCCTGCAGCAAGTGAAATGTGAACTTGGAATATTTTCTTGGCATTCAATATGATGGGTAAACTTTTTTTAAGATTTACTTTATTTATTTATGCATCCAAGAACTGGAGTGCAGGCCAGGAATGGGAAGGGGCAGTAAGAGCTTACCAGAGGACATAGTGGGGAACAGAACAGGCAGACCTACTGAAATACACAGCTGAGGGGAGCAGCAGGTGAGACAGGAGAGGTCTGCTGCACCATGTGGGTCATTTCCTTGGCCAGGGATAGAAGTCATGCGGCAGAAGCTGGCTGTAGCTTGATAGCACTGACTTAACCCCTGCACCACCAGGGATGCCCAATGAGGAGTTAACTTGCAGCATTGCCTTGGTAATAGCCCTGGAAGGAAAATGATCTTCTCCTTGCCAGCTTTATTGACCTTCAGGTTTTGCTAGCTAAAAGCATTTTCCTCTAATTTTCTCCTCCAGAGCCTTGGTATTGTAACCTGTTATATTCCACTAAGCAGTGTCCAGTGGACTAGAAGTAAGTGTCACAGGTACCCAGCTAGGATCTGCTAATATACATAAAACAATGGAAGGCTGTGGAGGACAAGATGCTCTATTACCATACATACTTCATTAGATGCCGGACTTATCCATATCAATGTGGAGTCCCCTTTATAATGTCCTAATTGTCTCCTAAAGACACCCATTGTAAACTGGGGCAAGAACCCACCCTCCGACTTCATTTTTGTGACTCAGCAAAAAAATTTCATTCAGGTCCCTCTATTTAAGGAAATAGAAATGACTTCAGTCGTCAAACTGTCAGTCCACAAAAAATAGATTTAAAAGCCTATGTGATTCGTGACTCACTTTAAAGTGAAAGTAACATTTCCACCAGATGTTTAAACCAGGTCAGCTTGATGGCAACACTGTGCCACTGAGTTTTCTACTGCAGCAAAGGCCATGCAGAAATACTGAACGTCCTTCAACAAGGACATTACTACTTCTTGGGGTAGCTGTGATTTTCTTTTAAAATGTCAAGCAGTTTTTGTATGTCCATGCAATGCAGTTCTTTC